TTATCAAGCTTAGTAACTAAGATGTATTTTAGTCTAAAAAAATATGAAATTTTGAGCAGACTAAAGACACCTACCTCGTTGAAATATTGATTCAAAAGAAAAAAATGGCACCAAGCCTGTTAAAATTGCTGAGAAAGCCACTAGGGGACATTCTCAGCTTCCGATTGGTTATTCATGTCATATATATAGAAGTAAGGGTATATAAGAGAGCATTTCCAAAAATGGAAAGAGGTGAGTGGGGTACCACTGTGTTTGATATATTACATGAGCAGTATCTTAGCAAACTAAAAAGATAAGAAGCTCTTATTTTATATTCTAGCTTGTCAATATTAGTAATTTGAGTTTCTAATTCATATGATACTATAGATTTAGTATTTTGACTAACTGGAACCAGCGCTAAATTCAACATACCACGTGACATAGAAAAAATCGATGTTTATCTGTGTCTTTTTAATATTTGTTTTTAAATTAAAAACTGAGTAATATGTAGTATTAAAATTTGAATTATAATCTATAGTTTGATACCAAAGTTACTGATATAAATTTATAAAATAGTAGTTCAATAAAATTTTGAATGTGAGTCAACAAATGAAATGACCTTTTATTCATGACCCATCTCGAAAGGGTTAACTCTCTCACCATAGAGTTGGTCAAATTTACTAACTTCATAATTAGTTTGTACTTTTTATAATTTTCGAGAGGGGTCTGATTTTCTATTTGATGGCTCTGTAACCAAAAACGATTGAAGGATATAAAAATTATGCTTTGCCTGAATGATGGCACATTATAATAAGCAATTCAAATTAAATTTCATACTTCTTGGAGGGGTGGTAACTAAATTATAGAAGAGAGGATGCCTAGGAAGAAAATGTCACAATTCTCATACTATGGGAAATTCTGGATTTGTTTGAATACTGCCATATATAAAATTAAGAACTTAAAACTTATATACTATTAAGATTTGGATTTATAGCTATGTTTTATGCCAAATTTATTCATATACCATGATAAGAAAATAGTTTAGTTTGAATGTAACTCACTAAAATCTGGTAACATTCATAGAAAACGATGCCTGCTCAAAAATTGTTAAAAGGTTAGCTCTAACTATTTTTCATCATAGATCAAAAAACCAATAGACAAATAACACATTTTGTTCATAAAGAAATTAATATATTACTTCTTTACAACAAACTTTCCCAATTACCATTTTGTTCACCCTTTATTTCTTCATTATTGGAGTTTTCTTGGTTTATTTCAGAAAACATTTTTTTCTTTCTCTGAGGTACTTCTTGATCTTTGTCATCTTTATCTTCATACTTTCTTTTCTTATTTTTCTTTTTTTTGTCTTTATCTTCCTTTTCTGCTTGTTGACTTCCTGAAATATTAAAATTTTCCACTTCTTCTGTAAACATTTTCTTCTGCATTTGGTTCTCATCCTCATCTCTTTGCTTTATTTTTTTACTCTTCTTCTTTTTTCTGTGGTTTTCAGAGGAGGAATGAGTTGGTTCTGTTATGCTAGTAACTTTCTTTTCTGTTTCTGATTGACATTTTTTTCTGTTTTCATCTGTTGAGCCTTTGCTTGCTTCTTTTTCTTGACTATTTTCTTGGCTAACAACTTCTTTTCCTGATTTGCTTTTTTCTTCTACCTATAATTAAATAAAGTTATCTATATCAAATACAATTAAATTCAAAATTGGTTTGCCTAATAAAATCTCTCTAGTATTTATTAATATGAATATATTAAAATCAAATTAATCCACCAGATTGTCCACTAACACCTAAGTATACAAATTCTCCTGAATCCTTTTCATTAAAATCTTCCTGTAACAAAACTTGACTTATATAACTGGGTTCTGAAAAACATATACAGAAGTAAGTGTATATAAGAGAGCATTTCCAAAAATGGAAAGAGGTGGGTGGGGTGCTACTATGTTTGATTTATTACATGAGCAATATCTTAGCAAATAGAAAAGATAAGACATTCTTATTTTATATTCTAGCTTGTCAATATTGGTAATTTGAGTTTCTAATTCGTACGAAACCATAGACTTAGTACTTTGATTTCATAAACATCTAATCTGAAGCAGTGCTGCATTCAAAATACCACATGATACACAAAAATCAATGTTTATCTGTGTTTCTTAATATTGACTTTTAAATCAAGAAACTGAATAATGTATAGTACTAAAATTTGAATTATAATCCACAGTTTGATACCAAACTTATTGAAATAAATTCATGAAATAGTGGTTCAATAAAATTTTGAATGAGTCAAGAAACGAGATGACATGGCCTTTCACCCATAACCCTTCTCGAAAGGGTTAAAGTTACATTTTCGAACATTTGAATTACTCGGGCATGAGAATAGTTCAAGCTGACAAAAACCTGAAGGTTAATGGCAAGGACATTAATGGCTTGAATGAGAAGGGAGAAAGAGGGTAGAATATGGGTTATTTTTAATGTAAATCTAGTGAATTTTCATGTTTAGATAATCATGCAGCTATAATATTAACATTACTGCTTCTAAATTGTGTATTTCCTATATTTGTGCACTAGTACTAACAGAAAAACACTAACTTTCCACAACATTAAATTTTTTAAGGGCATTATTCTCTTGAGAAAATGTCAAGTTTGTATGCCACGTTTTTCACCTTGCTGCTGCCAGTTTTGAATTCAATTGTCACTATTTTGTTGAACAATGATCAGGAGAATTTCTCTTTGCAACCACATTCAATCTCTCTCACCTTGTGTGAAGTTTCAGAATTGACTTTTATCAGTATTTTTTTCTTGAAAAAAATGTGATAACAACATACACGTCCTTGCTTTAATTGGATGAGCCTCATTTAGAAAGTGTGTTTTCTATTGGTGAAGCACACATTCAGACTCTTGTGTGTACTTCTGGGACTCATAACAAATGTTTTCCAAAGAAAATAGGAGAGAATTTTATTTGCAAATGTTTTCTCAGATTTCCATCACTCATGTATGACCAATAACATATCGAAAAATGTGAAAAATTCTCATCCCTGATTGCTAAAAATAACTCGTGATACATCCAATACTTCAAGTAAGTAGTCACACCAGCTTTTGTTTATAAGAGGGTAAAAAACACACCAACTAGTCAAAACTTTAAGAAAGATTGTTTGATAGGCAACTTGTGTGATAGTTAGCAGTGTAATTCTATCTTAACTTATTATACAAAATCAATCTGAAATGCCTTATTAACTTTAATTAAGAAACAAAGCAAAAAAAATCATTTTGTGATATTCAACAGCAACTAAAAATCTTTCCTTTCAAAACATTATCCCAATTTTTCAAACAATATTCAATATTCAAATTCAACATGAAGAAAAATCCAGGGAAAAAAAAAAAGAGTAGGAACATATACCTCTCCATCTTATTAAACTCATTAGCATCAGGTTTGACCAGTGCTTTAGAAAATTAACCACACAACAGGTAATAACATATAATGCTAACTAAGTTCTTTCACATCAGAAAATATCCTCACGTATTTTTAAATGCAAGTTATTTTAATTATTACAGTATTTTACAACCCAAGCTGGAAAATTTAATTCACTGATCAGTAGTGTAGTCTGTGACATTACATCACAATAATATGGTTCCTTATGACATAATGTCACGCAAGATTTTTTTTTCCAAGTTCTAAAACATCAAATCTGCAAAAAATGTCCACTACAAGTCTTTTAGTAAAGTTCAAATTTTAAACTACTAACTTGTTCTTTACTGTATTTCAAAACTTATTTTCTAGGTGTCATTTAAGCTAAAATTTAACTGAACCATTTAACAATGAGTACAGACAGATTAACATATATTTTAACAAGCATAGCCAGTACAATAGTGATATATGATTACAAAAAAAACCTATTTCCTAACTGGTGAGTCAACATTAAAGTTAATTCAAAGTAGTTTGATGTTTCAATGTGTAAACAACTGATGATAATAAAAAGGATGCCCTAACAGTTATTGATGTTTCACAGTTGACTTTTAATCATTTTATAATCTTGCTGAATTGCTTAACTAATATATACTCTGTTGATAGAAGAGAGAGAAAGTCGTTACTTTTACACTTCTTTCCATTTTTATATGATGCAATATAGTTTTGAATGCGTTTATCTGTGCACACAAAAGAACTTTAAGTTACAGTACCATGAAAACTATTACAAATATTGTTACTGATTTATGAGACTAGATTTTTTGTACACACAAGTTTTGAATAAGAAATCAATAAAAGATAAAGAGTACAGGAAGTGTTTTACTACCTAAACTAAAAATCTATTACAACTCAAACTAATTCTTACTTGTTTTTCATGGGCTTTTGAAAATATCTCCCAAGCTTTGGGAATTAGCCTTTTGTCTTTAACACGAACACTGTTCTTCAAAAAGTTCTGCAGAAAAATATGAGATGAAGGAAAACTTGATACAAGGAAGACAAATAATACTTGTATTTATTAAAATATGTTACCAATATCCCTTCCTCTATACTGTAGTCATCTGATTTAAGCTAATAAGTAAAAAAACTAAAACTTGAGAATACTGAATGTATCCAAAGACAGACAACAAATAAACTTTCTGATATAGAACATTTATTTAAATAGAAACTTGGAAGAAAAAAAAAGAAAAGAACCAACAAAAACTTTCTGTACATGGGCTCATGAAATATTTAAAAATTTTTCAATCTTTATTTTTTTCTGTCATGTGATGTATCTGAGCTATGATTTTTCCACTTCAGTAGTTTTTTGACTTCAAATATAGACTGCTGCAGTTTTCACCCAATTAAAAACAAAAACTAGACATAATTGCAATTAAACATCTAAAATTTTAACCTCTTATCTTCTTGATTTGCTAGAACATCAATAAATTTGTCAAATCCACTACAGAAGAGATCCCCCCCCCCCGACCTAAGAGATTGTTTGTTAATTGGCTGATCAGCATGTTTATATAACCAAAAGAAAGAGCAGAATACAAGACTATGGTTTATTCAATAACAATTTATTTTGTTTGTACTTTTTTCTCCAATTGGTTAAAATAATTTTTCAAATTTACTTAAATCTTACTTATAGGTGGGTAAATTAGTTTTGGGACATTCCATTCTAGTGAATGATAAAATTTGTGTTTTAAAATGCAGATATGAAAACTACATGAAATATTTTTTGCATACCGAAATTTACGAGACTTAGTGTAAGGATGTAATGATTCAACCTGGTCCAATGGTAACAGCTCATTTGTGCTGCAGTCCAGATCATTTTATTATTATTTTTCTGAATTTCATTTTAGGTTATTGTAAAACAAATGCTTTAAGTAATATAATTCACAAATTTGATTATGCAAATACATAATCAGTTTATGTAATGTATAACTATTTTAAATTTAGATTTCATTATTCTGGTGTCCAATTCCTCATGAATACTGCATATCAAATAATTCAATAAATTGTAAAGCAACTACCACATGCTGTGTCAACAATGATTGAGTCATCAAAGTGTAAAATAGAGGATGCACTTTTTTTTTTTTACAAATCAGTTGTTTGGAAATATTTTAGGTTTTATGTTTCTGGACAAAAATGGAGAAAACTGACCATTTGAAAAGCAAGTGTACAATTGTTAAAGTAGAGGTCAGTTATAATACAAGAACAATGTCAAACATAGACAAAAACCTGAAAAGAAAATATGATATTACATTACAATAAACAAAGAAACTGATAATGCTTGCTTTAGGCATCTGCTTATAGTTTTGGAACCAAGATATGAGATCTCTTCTAAGACACACTTTAGTACTGTAGTAATTCCAGACCTGTACAAAGAGGAAAAGGACAAGCTTGACACTGAACTCAAAGATGCTTCTTTTGTTGTCCTTACCAGTGATGAATGGATGTTGAGATCTACTAAAAGCTACATCACTATTAACTCTTAAGTCTAAGGGTCTCTACCTGAGTAGCCTTTCATGTAACCCATAAAACAACGAGTATAAAAAATACTTTTTTCCAACTTATAGGTTTCAAATTGCATTTGCATAACCCCTAGAAGATCTTGAGTGAATATCAAAAATTTTTAAATGTAACTTAAATGTTAATATATATTTCACTTTCTCTATGATACTTCTAACTGTAGCTATTATCTTCAACTTATACTATATAGTCTAGAGTACAGTACAATGAAATAATCTTAAAACATCTTTTTCTTTTTTGTATGTCTTTACATTTTAACATATAATCTATTTTAATAATTTATTATCCTTTCCTGTTCTTTAGTGCTGTTATTTATCACAACACATGTCAATGGGCATCCTCGACAAATATTACCGTATAGTGGGCAGACAAAATTTAGCTCTCAGCAAAACGTGGTGGAATTTGTGCGTTACACTATCCTTTCTAAACTGAGCATATATATATACAACTTATTAAACCTTTCAAATATACATCCTAAAAGATAAATAACACATAATTAAGTAAATATATAACTAAAATTTAAATACAATGCAACTGTCTATCTAACTAATGTATTTCTAAGTGAGAAATAATGCTAAAGTGGCAGGGACAAAGCAGTAACAATGCTAAGAGCAATTTGACTAATTCTCTATATAACTATTTGCAACAATTTTAATATAATAGTTAACAGAACCTACTTCAAAAAAGTGCTCTTTCCATTGGTTATAAACATCTAGCTCAACTAAGTATAATTGGCTGAAAAATTGCAACTCTATGTGTACAAAGTGGGTGTGGCATCTGTCAAGAGTTCAAAGAAATTTATTTCTCACATCTCCAAATGTGTTCTAAGGAACTTGAAAGAAGAATGTGTAAACAGAGCAATTAACCTAGATTATTTCTATATATGGCAGGTTAGTGTGAATCAAGAACTGTTCAAACTACAAAGACAAAAATTTAATATTTTCTGAATTTGTGGAGCATAAAAGAATAAAACAAAACTTAGATAATATAAAACTTTGAACTATAATGTAAATTTTAATACTGATTTCATTGGTAAACATTGATTATAAAATAGCTTAATTAAATTTTACACATAACTAAGTAAAATATTGTGACATGCGCAGAAAAGGTAAGAAAGGAGTTAATATATCTATAAACTGACTGGATCCTTCAGTCTTTCGAATCTCAAATCATCAAGTGTGTATTCTTAACTTAAGTACAACTTGGATAATACAGATTTTGAGTTTGCACAAGTTAATCTGTAAAAAGGCAGATTCCCATTTATTTTTAGCTCCTGTTTATATGGAACATAAACACAGAAAAAAACACAATTTCTATTTTAATGAAACTTCAACACAAATTTTAATTTTTAAATAAATACATATATGGAAAAAAAAACATGTATAGAAAGTTACCTCAAACTTTATTTTTTTCCTTGGAATGTTTGAAAATCCAATAAGTTGTTCCAGCAAATCTGATAAACCAGGAGAAACATTTGTTGTTGCTATGGTTTGCTGGATATGCTAAAAACAGAAAAAAAATAAAAAACATTCTCAAGATTTTTCAGCTCTTCTTTTTTTTGTTACATAATTTTTTTACACTCCATTAGACAAACCTTGTATGTATGTGTGTATGTACTTTTCAAATGTAAAATAAAGAGCTGATTATGAAAACAAAAATATCATATTTTGTTTTACATTAACTTCTTTTAACTAAGCATCTATGAAACTTCACTTTCATAATATTAATGAAATAATCAAATACAATTTTATATTTTAATAAACCTCTCTTGTTTAATGTTCCTGTAAACAAGTGAGAAACAGTTTAAAGTACAGATCAAACATTTTTATATTAAAATTCAGTATATATTTGTAGGTACTTAAAGGTTAAATTCCTTAAGTCCTAATTGAATGATAATTTTTACTGTAGTTTCAGCTGACATACATTAATGGAAATTATTGTAGAAACACACAAGTAATAAACACAGGAGTCATATAACATAAGCAATGGTGAATTTATTTGTGGTACAAAATATTTCACTAAAAATTTTAAAGAAAAGAAAACAACCTGTGCTAGTTATGTAGAAATGTATCACATAATGAGTGACTGACTATAATCTGAGTCTTTTAACCCGATGACTACCAGCTACTAACTTTCTCAGTAGGCAATGCAAGTCTTGCTATATTTCATTCCAACAATAAAATTAGTGGACGAATATGTTCGAAAGTTCATAAGTACTTTGACAAATGTAGGTAGTTTAAGAAACATAAAGCCTATTACTTTTAATAAATTTAGTTTTTTTTGCATTATGATCTTTAATATCTTTGAAAATTACATTAGGAAATGGTATTTACAAGAAATGATTACGATATTTATATTTGCTACAGATTTGAACTTATTACTTTTAATGTTTTAGTACATTATTTTGAAATCCCCCAAAAAATTGTATCCTCCATAAAATAC